GGCAAACTACCTCTTGCATGTCTTTATCATCAAACCCTTCAAGACGAGCCAGAACATCCTGCAGTGCTGTTTTGGTAGCCTCGTCAGCTTTCTTGTCCTATAACAGATGCCCTATGCAAGGTCAGGATAAGATAATGAATAACATTCTCACTATATACAAACTGCTATGACTGTTTGATTGTTTGCTGCTTTGCTTGCCTGTCCGAAAATCCCTGTTCTACCCGAAGAGCAACTTAGAGAGGTCAGGTGAAGGCTGGGATATTTGGAGAATGGGATAAGATTCAAAGAGTACACGGGACTCATCCTAAGCCCCCCCCCACCACAGTGAGCGACGGATGCGCCGAAAGCTAGCGGCGTCGCAAACAACAATTCATAATTTACTTCCAGATCAGTGTAGAGGTGGGAACAAGTGGACTACGGTTTCCAAAGGGGTTGACAGACCGACTGGGGGAGACACATCCGACATAGGCAAACTTGAGACAACAATCATAAGTCTTAAGGGAAGTTGGTATAAGCACCTCACCTTCGCTGCAAACTAAGACCTACCTGAATCGAGCCAAATTCTTAACAATGCAGAGCGAAATCGAGAGTAAACATTTGACTTACAGCGATGATCTTCTCCGCTGCATTCTTTATAAGATGATCAGCGCGGAAACATTCTCCGGTCTTAAGGTCTTTCACCATCCAATCCGCAAAGCGATCAACGTGTCCAGAAGCCCTAGAACATTGCCCTTTTTGACCTTTTTTAGTTATATAAGATATGAGCATTACGACAAAGCTTCAACAGAGGCGTCAAAGGTGAAAACCATTGGTTTTCATTTTACTGCGATGTAGAAGACCTGCAAAACTTACTTAAGCACTGCCTCAGGTGTTAGCGATGTGCAGTCCACTTCAAGCATACCTTCTTCAAGAATGAAATGTTTACGCCATTCTTGCAGCATGTTTGCTTTCAAGGCACATCCCATTGGCCCAAAGTCATATCTATAAACCGAACGTAAAACATTCGAAAATTTAACTTCTTCTGTTCACAATAAACACCACCGAACGTATGAACACTTAGAATTATTCAATTGAGTATAGCACAATTGAAAACCTTACAATCCGGTCACTCCTCCATAAATCGAGAAGGATTGATCGTAGAAAAAGCGCCGTTTCAGTAGATCTTCAAGTTTCAAGCGATCGAAAGACGCCTCTTTCGGAGCAAGGGCGATGCGCACACCCCTCACTGCGCCTCCTGAAACATGGGGAAACGGCTGATGACCTGACATAACGACTTATTTGATGGTACGGCGCTCTTCTTCTGAGTCTGGCCAGCCAGAGTACACGCTAATACTTCGGTAGCAGTGAAAAACGGTAAACGACGCGAGGACTGTGACACAGCTGTGTGTCACATGCGTCCCAGCGCGACCGACAATTAATCGTGAGCGATGAACACTCCGACTCGAGGGTCAGCTAGTTTCTTCCGAGGAGCGATGAGCGAACCTACGTATTGAAAAACCCGGGGCTGCCTTGTGTGCGAGGAAGTGATGGAGCCACTTTAGTCGCGTGTCATGCCCTCTTCTTCCGGCAATGGAGGACAAGGCCCAGTGGAATACTTCACCTATGCCACCCCCTGTGGGCCTAATCCGCGCTAAGCCTCCTGTGGGAACTTCTTCACTCTTCTCTGTTAGGGGACTCTTAATGGATATGAACGATTGCGGTGAGCTCTGTCCCTCCAATCTCCAACGTCCCGTTACGCACCTTTGAACATGCGGATGCTCTTTAAGGCAGGTGCGGCAATGATCGGGGCCGGGCAGGGGCAGGGGGGGCTACTTCAACGTTATAGGGAAGGGCCTGCGAGAAAGGAGGCATTTTCCGACTTCGACCCAAACTGAACGTTGATAGCTAAGCCGGCCCCACCTCCACAGCCATCGTGCCTTCCTGTCTTCGAAGCACCTCTGCTGCGCTGCCCGCAAGCTGCAAAACTGGAGCTTTCATACAAAACCATCCCTAAAGTACTGACATGGGTAAGCCATGGAGTCCAGCGCAGACATGAAAACTGCGGGCAGCGTCAGCTACATTAAGTAACTTCAACGGCCCACCTTGTCAGAGGCACGAGCGAGCTCGTAGGTCCTTACTAGCCTTCAACTTCAATGTGAGCAAGAAGCGGAAATGAGCGCCGGGCAGAAGACGAAACATGAGCTCACCGTGTCCTCCAGTTTCTTCTTTCTCGCTTTCAATTCAACGACCGCTTTATCAATATCGATCTTTGGAGCACCATTCGCCTGAAGCAACAGGGACAGAATTTCATTGACATCCAAAAACACCAATTCCAAAATGCTCTCTGATTTCAATGGAGCGGGAAAAACACAGTCGAGAATTCTTTCGCGATGAAAAAGCCGCTACTTACCTTGAGCTCCCGGGATGAGATCTCCATTACTGCTTTCACGGCAATACGAGAGAGGGGTGCCAGTTTGCTGAGAATGAGGAATTAAGTTGTCGTCTGATTAATTAAAAATATAGGTCCTTGCAGCAACTCACCGCTTCAATTTCAGGAGTAGCCATATTTCTCAAGTACTCAGACAACTTTAATTTCGATTTTTTGGTAAATCTAGGAGCAATTGAAGTCTTCCTTCCTACTTCCTTATTGACAGCGGTCTCCGCCTGTAAAAAAAGGAAATTTGGAAGTTGCAACAAAACAAAGCCGGCTACTTGCTGAACGAATAGTAATGTAGAAGGAATAAATAATTCAACAAGCACATATAAACTGACGGAAAAATGCCGCTTGTTGCTTTGAAGCACCAGTAAGCACCCTAACTCAAAATTTAAAGAAGAAACTAGCGCGCTATTCAACAAACGTACGGTCCTCCGGTGTACCTAATCTCAAGACATTTAACTCCGGTTACACCTTTCAAAATAAAAAAGAAAACATTGAAGGAAAGGCAGAGAAACGAAGTTAACATTTTATAGTCTGGACCACTGCACCAAAATGGCACACTATATTGGAGTGCGTTGCAGGGCTTCTACCAACCGAATGTTTTCGCGCTTCGAGCATCCATTTGTATTTTCTCATCGCATCTTCTTGCTGAGCATTTTAAGGCAGCGATATGAGGAAGAGAGATAGAGAGTGAGTGAGAGAGAGAATGAAGAAAGGAAAAAAGGAAGGTGGCAGAAAAAAGGAAAGAGGAGTAAGCTACGGTTGACAGAGGTTCAGAGACGTACTGCGCCAAAACTTGTCTGTTGTCTGCGTTTGGGCTCTAAAAATTGTTAACACTAATCGTGAACCCAACACTTTCACTTGCAATCTACCGAATTTCGAAGCTAATGCCACTGAATTCTAACTGACATGTTTGCACCAACTGAAAGACACTGGTCAAGAAGTTGATAGATTTTTTTCTATTTCGATCATATTCTAAACTCCAAATAACCAGGAGCGCCACTTTAGTAAGGGAAAATTAGCGGTGACAACCACAGGAGAATATCTTCAGGAGAAGGTTTGAGCACTCTCGCCGGCAGTTGTTCGATCAAAACGAAATAAAGCAACATAAACTCTACAACTCCAAGAGCTCGAGTAACGAAATGGCGTAAAATTGGTGACATCCGTCGGTACACGTGGCACACATTATCCACGACTGAACTGATCAAGCAAAAAAATAGGGGAACAGTAGATCAAACGCAGGAAATCAGCAGAGTCATATTAAAAAAGGATCCTAAGAAGTATCCGAAGAATAAGTCGTAGTATGTTAATGCCATCACAGCATCAGGAATAAATACTGAAGAAAGCTGCTGAAGTGCGGTTTTTATTGCGTCATTCTGATGAGGACTTTCACAACCTGCGTTTGTTTTCCACGACTGAAGTCTTTTGTTTGGTTTTCTTCATCAGTCAGAGGTGAAAGACGGAAGGACTTGGAACCGCTCTTTTTATCGGCGAGTGTTATGATGCTTAAGCAAGCAAGCATGATAGCAAAGACATAAAAAATCGAAAAGGTTTGCAGATATTACGGCACCCAGCAATTGATTATAGGTATTTTATAGGACTAAAAAGCCGAATCAGGGATTTTGCAAGAAACGA